ATATAAATATAAATATAAATATAATTAAAAATAAATCTTTTATATTTTTTCATATTTATTTATTTAATCATATATTCATTAATTTATTTATTTATTTTTATATTTTATTATAATATTATATTATATATATTTTTTAAAAATTGAATAATTAAAATTTATATAAATAATTAATGGCTCCGCGTTATCATTCTCATTCGAAATCTCCTAAAATAAAAAAAAGTAAAGAAAAAATTAAAAAGGAAAAATCTTTTAAAAAAAATCGTAGTAACAGCAAAAATAAAAAAAGGCATTCCAAAAGTCGTTCTTATTCAAAATAACGTGAAAAACATAAAGAAAAAAACTTAAAAGATCCATAAGTAACTCACATGATAGAAAATAAACTAACAATAAAGACGAAGATAAATACGACCAAAATTAATAAAAGCATTAATCACCATAATCGAAATAAAATATAAATGACCAAAGCGTAGACTTAACCGAATAAGAAGATCAAAACGATGATGATCTATAATAAAAAATGATAAAAATTCTTGGAATAACTTCTTTTGCATCTTCCAAAGGAAAAGATCATTAACATTCTGCAAAAGAATCTGTTTTTTTATTCCGTAAAGAAAAAAGACAATACAGAAGATATATGAATAGAAAAGGAGGTTTTAACAGAGCTTTAGATAAAATGGATTGAAAAAAAAAAAAAAAAAAAATATTTTTGTAGACATATATATCAATATTTATATTTTTATAAAAAATTAATTTATATATATATTTTTTTATATTTTTCTAAAGTAAAAAATTCATATTGTTATTATTTATTTATAAAAATATGTGCTAATTTTTATATATATTGTCAATAAACAGTCCTTACTCTAAAAATAAGAAAGAATTTTTCCTATGAATCTTAAGTAATGATAGCTACTCTGATAGTATTATCAGTATTATTTCTTAAAATCTACATAATAGGGGAACATTAAGTAGCCTATTCATGTTATAATCTCTCATCAATCATAATTCCATTATTAATAGGAGAAATAGGATTTGATAATCTTAATAATTCATCACTATTTCCCGAACTTAATATCATATAGTTATTTTTTTTACCATCAAAGGGATTTTCGAATAGTAAAAGTTCAGAAACTACACTTTAATGTCCAACAATTTCCCTTTCGATGTTTCCAGTAGAAATATTCCATGTTTTAATCTTTGAATCAGATCCTCCTGTAAATATAATCGAAGAATCCATATGGGAAGAATTAATAGAAAAAACATGACAATTATCCTACAAACTTTTCTCGAAAATGAATTTATCTAAAACTTTTCTCTATAAACCCACATTAAATATATGTTGTAAACCCCAAACTTTAATAGTCCTATCTGATGAACCCGAAAGTAAGTTATTTCCATCTTTTGTTATAGCAATGCAATTTACAGACCCATTATGTTCCTACATTTATGCTAATACACTTCCATTTAGAACATCCCATATAATGATTGACCCATCTTATGAAGATGTTAATAATGTTCTTCCGTCTTTTACACTTAATATACTAGTTATACTGTTTGTATGTCTTTTTAATACCCTTATTGGTTAATGTTTTTATATATCCCATATTATTACTTAATGATCGCCCATTCCACCCCCTGAAGCTAAATAAAGAAGTTCTTTTTCTTATTTGTTTTCTTAATGATCTATAAATTATATTATTTAAAATATATAGAATAATATTTAATTATAAATAAATAAATATATATATATAAAAAAATATTTATAAATATATATATATATATATTATAAATATACATATTTCTATATATATATTTTTATTTATTTTTTTTATTTACATATATATTTTTATTAATAATTTTTATTTTACTTATTAATAATTTAGCTAAACTAGTATTTTTTAATTATTTTCCCATATTCATTTCTGATGGAAAAGCCCTAAAACCTCTTAATGCGTTGACAGAACTTTAATGTCCTTATAAAGTTGCTAAATGTTTATTTAAAGTAATATTCCAAATTTTAATTGAGCAATCTTTGGATCCTGTGGCTATAGTATCTTCATTTAATGCAAAAACACATAAAATCGAATCATTATGGGAAGTTGAAAATTTAGCTTCTATTTACAATTAAAGACCTTTTTAAGGTCTATAATCCCCTATAACAGAAGTCCTATCTTCCGATATCAAAGACGTAATATTGGGACTTACGGACATATAGTTAAAATCATAGAATTAATTTGTATATACTAAATGGTTGAAATTTCTTAAATATTCACTAAGGGAATTTATTATATTCATTTTGATTTCTGTTAGTAATATTTGAGAAGTTTCTGAGTGGTTATATAAAGGAATATGATATGATTATTTCGAAAGCTCGTCCGAGAGGAAATTAAGGAGCTTTTTCTCGATTTCTTTTTCTATATTGTCTATAGAAGCTTACAAATTGCATTTCTCGTCTTTTATTTTTATTATAGTATCAGTAGAACAAGGCTCTTTTCCATAAAAAGTTACATTATTTAAAGTACTTATATTCTAATTTGGTGCATTAATATTTGATTTATTAGACACTAATCTTGATTTATCTTTAAAATTGGCAACCCTATTATTTAAATTTATATAATTTTCCCTATATAAACAGAAAAAATCATCGAATTTCGCATGTAATTTTTTCCTTTATTAATTAAACATTTCAACCATATCATTAATAGTTTAATCGAAATCCATATCTATTTTTGCTTTTTCCTTTTTTATATGTTCTTCAACTTTTTAAATTTAATCATCTCCTTCACTAATTGTTTAAGTAACTGCTTTTGGTAAGACTAAATGTTGTAAATCTTATGCAAATTATCTTGAAGAAACAGTACTTTGACCTAAATTAACATTTTAACTCATAAATAAATTATTGTGCTGTTGTTTTTTTTCGTAATTATCATCTTCCTAATTTAATTGAAAGTTTTATTATTATTGCTATTATTATTAATTTATTCCTATTCCTAAATTACTTGAAAAACCTTAACCTATAGATTATGCTGTGGAATAAAATAAAGCATTGTTTTATTTTCTATCAAAAATGTTCTGTTTATGGCTTACATTGTGTCCTATTTAAGTCTAAGGAGCTTGAATTATTCGAGGATTATTCACTATTTATGATTAGTCAAGAGCTTTGGTTAATATTGTGGAATTAGATAAACTTTATTGGGATTATTATAGGCCAGGCTTTGTAGTTGGATTTATTTTATTTAGGTTATTTTGGATTATTTAAGACTCAGTTAATTAAGTAGGGATTGGATTTCCAAACTCGTCTTTTTTTACAGTCATCTTTATCTTTATTTTCTTGTTTTTTAAATCTTTAATTTTTGATTCGAAATCGAACTCTTCGTATATAGTGTTTAGCATTTTTTTTTTTTATATATATATATATAATATGTAAATGATTATATATAAGGAATATTTTTTATTAATAAATATTATAAAAATAAACAAAGGAAAATTTTTTTGAAGATATGATATTTATATATAAAAAAAAATTTTAAAAAAAAAATTATTTAAATTTTTATTCAAAAAGAACTAAGTACTAATATAATAATAAACAAATATAAAATAATGATTATTATTATTATTATTATTATTATTATTATTATTATTATTATTATTATTATTATTACTATATTTCATCCTTATTTTTTTTAATTTATTTTCCTCTTTTTGATTGATTTTATTGTTACCATTCTTCTGGTTCGAAATATTCACTTTTTTATTTAATTATCCCTAAATTTAAATCCATTTTTTATATTTCATCTTTTTGTTTTTAATTTTCTAATTCTAATCTTAATTATCTGTCTTTTTCGTCTTCTTCTAACCCCAATCTTCTATTAACTTCTAATTTATCTATAATTTTGAACCTTTATTAATAAAATTCCATCATAAGTTATCTTTCCTTTTCGTCCCATTCAATGCCTCTTCTTTTTCTTTCTTTTTCTTCTATATAACTATTATTTACTTTTAAATTTTTTCTATTTATTATATAAAATAAATACTTACTATTATTAAACCTCCTCTTTTGTAGGAGGAATTTCATCTTTTTTTGTCAACCAAAAATAAAATGCCAAATCAGTCATTTCATAGCTATTTTTATTTGCAAAATCAATCTTTTTTTATATTTAAATTTAATTTTTTTTATTTATTTTTTTACTTCTCTTCTTGTTGGTAATCCCCATGGAGAATAATACTAATAATATTTATTTCCGTCTTTATCTATTCCAACTAGTTCCCTGTTTAACTTTTGGTTTAACATTTCTTCTTTTAATTATATATATTTTTAGCCGTATTTCGAGCCTTTTATCCATTCTCTTATTGCTCGATATTTTCTTATTATATTCATTTTTTTTTTTTTTTTATATAAATGAATTTATTTTAATTTTAATATAAAATAATTTTAATAAAAATTAATATATAAATAAATAAAACAATACATTATAAAATTAATCATTATTAATAAAAAAATACAAATACATTTTTTAATGAAACTAAACAAAAAATTTACAAAAACCATAAAAAAGTTGACATTTTTACCCCCCCCCCCTCCAAACAAGTCGACTTTACAACTATTAAATCAATAATATAATGTATAATGTCATTTATAGTAATTATTTTATCATTATTTTACTTTATTATATCTCCTTTATTAATATTTTACAAACAAAATAATGTCTAAGATAGTCCAAAATAAAACAAAAAAACGATATGATTTCTCCCTTTATTAATCTATTCATGAGCATTATTTAGTTTTTACATTTAAAATTAACCAAATTGAAATTTCCCTTGTAGAAGAAAACTATATTGCATTTAAATTCCAATATAATAAGCACACACATAATAAGGAGTACAATAAACACTAACCCGATATAAAAAATGTGCCCTTATGTGGACTTTTCAATTTTAAATGTAAAAAAAGTACATATATATAGGAAAAAAATTTCTTAAGAAAGTTTAATTAATGCATTCATAATTATATATAGAGTATTATTTAAAATGTATAAAAGAGTATAAAAAAGAAGAAAATAGACAACTTAAAAAATAATATTTAGATAGAAATAATTTATATTCCCAAATGAAAAGTTTTAGATATAGAAGATTTGTTAGTAAAAGACTATTATAAAGATTTCTATATGATTTAAGAAATTTAATTCGAATGGTAAATATGGAAATTATAGATGTTTATATAGATGTAAAAAAAGGCTTATTTTTTTTTTAAGGCAAAAACGTACTTTTTTCACACTAAGAAAATATATTATTAGTAATACTTCGGGTATTTATGGGAACAAATAAAAATTAAGGACTAAAATGGACATTATTAAATATTAAAATAATAAATATGTAATATTATTAGAAAAGTAGATTTATAATAAAAAACGATTTCTAATAAGAAAAAAAAAAATTGATAAATGAATTAGAAAAAAAAGACCTTACAAAAAATATAAAATATCGTATTTATATTTAATATAGTTAATAAACCTTAAATATTATTTAAAAGTGTAAATTATAAATTAATATTAAGATATTTTAAAGGTGATATTTTTATAGATTTTTAATAAAAAATAATTGGTTTAAAGTCTTTTCTAAATTTAAACTTAATAATTTATAATTTCGAGAAGATTTAGAAGAAAATTAAAATAAAAGTATACTTTTCTAATTCTTAAAATAAAATTTCTGTTTTAATTTCGAATTTAATTTTAAATAACCTAAAATTAAATTTAAATAAAAAACAATACTAATTTGAACGAAACATAATACTAATTCAAATGAAAAAAAAAACTAATTTAAATGAAATAAATGCATATTGGTATGAAAAAAAAAAAATTTAATAAATAGTTATATAACAAAAAAATTAAAATTACGAAAAGACATTCCGAAAAAAATAACTTATTTTATAGGTTTATAGATAGAATTTAGAAAAAATAAAAAAAGGAGAATATAGTATATATGAATGTATATAAATGACATAATTTTATAAAATAAAATAATATATAATTATAATAATAAATAAAAAAATATATTTAGAATTTTAATATAATAATTTTTAAATTTACATAATTTTATTTTATTATTATTATATATATATATATATATATATATATATATATATATATATATATATATATATAACTTTTATTTTATCGTTTTATATATTTATTCAATTTATATTATTATTAACAAAAAAGAAAAATATAATGGCCACTTCTTTTTAATTTTCAAAAATAGGTGAAAGTATATTAACATAAAATTAAATAAAATATGAATAAAATCCATATAATAAAAACGCTTATTTCGATTAAAAAAAGCCAATAGAATCTCCATATTATAATTTAAATTAAATTCCAAAATCAAAGCAATAATATGCAGATATGTTAAAATAATAAATAAATGAAAGAAAAGAATTAAGAACTAAAAAATATTAAAACGAATAAATAATACAACAATAATAAAAAATATAAATAGAAAAAAATAATTATTATAAAGGATCATTATGGAAGGAAAATTTAAACGAATAATAATTACAAGAAAAACAAAACTAAAAAAACGAACTTTTAAAATAATTACAAGAATAAATTTTATTTAAAAAACTAAAAGAATAATAAGAAAAAAAACAGGAATAAATGTAAGATTTCTTTCTTAATGAAAAAATTAAAATTTTTTAACAAAATTCTACATAAAAAAATTAAAATCTCAAACAAAATTCTCTTCCTATAAAAAATATTAAAACAGATATTATTAAATCTTTACATATAAAATAAAATAATAAAACAGAAAACACCAAAAACAAAAATGAAAATAATAAAGACGTTCAAAATTTTGAAAATGCCTAAGAAATACCAAGAACTCCTAATAGAGTTTCTTAAAATTAATTCTAGTTTTTAAATAAAAATTAAAAAAATCAAGATAATAAAAGTAGCAATTTTTAAAATTATTTAAATGAATATTATGATTAAGAAAATAATAAAGAAATAAAGAGTATATAAAAAGAAGTAAATATATATATATATATATATATATATATATATAATATATATATATATATTATATAAAATAAAATATTTTATAATAGAGTTTTATTACATAAAATTATAATGATTCTTTAACCAAAAATATGCTTTTATATATGGAATAATAAAGAAATGCCTATTAATAAGATATATATGACTTAAAAGTAAAAATTACTCGAAAAAATGAATAAAATAATTCTTTTTATTAAGAAAATAATAATGAAATAAAAGAATAAAATTCTTAATTTATAAAATAAAAAATAATTCAAGTAGAATAAAAATAAACTAGAGAAAAAAAAAAATGTAATTCTTAAATTTTTTAAATTTAAAAAAACGAATAAAGAAAAATTTCATCATAAAGTGTGGATTTATTAAAAACGGGGAAGATTTTATCAAAGAAAATTTGAAAGATAAAAAAATAAAATTTATGTTATAAAAAAAGAAAAAAATATAATAAATTAATAATATGAATGGTTAAACGTGAATATATAGGAAAAAAACATTGATAATTATGATGAATTTAATAATATTATTTTTAAAATCAAAGATATGATATATTAGGAAACTTTACCTGTAAAAAATAATAATGATAATGAAATAGAAAGAGAATACTAAAGGAAAAGACAATATATTTAGAATGTTAAATAAAGAGAATTAGAATAAAACTATTTGTAATTTTAAGTTAAAGAATAAATTAATGAAAAAATTAAAGAAGAAAGTATAAAAAATATAGAAAATGAAGATAATAATAATATTAATTTTGAAAAAAATATGGAAAATATAAAAAATTTAATATTAAATTTTAAAAATAATTATTAAGATAAATATTGATAATGTCATATTTATTTTA